GAAAAAAATAGAAAAGAAAAAAGAAAAATAGCATATACAATTGCGACTCAAGTCATATCGTATTTGAATGCTATTAAAAATGACCTTTCCTTTTTAATTTTCAGCACTGAAATTTTCTGTAACATGCATTGCAATACGGCTATTGGGAGGTGTTCTGTACACAGATGATGACCAGAACACTCCCTGAAAGTGTAATTTCCTGCTTGTGTAACTGGCTCACTAATTTTGCCCAGAAGTCTGCACTAAGACACAAATCCAATTTTGAGAATCCCCTATAACAAAAATTTAGTTTTGGTGAGATACCCCCAAAAGGAAAGCATGTCTAAAGGGATGCAAACCCTGCCATTTTCCTCAACAGAGCCCTGCAGATGCAGCAGCTAACTGATAAGTATAAAATCACTCCCATACAGATTCACTCTGCACATGGACACAGAAAAACAGCTATTTCTTCAGAATAATAAAAGGTAGTAATCTGCAACAATCTGCAATGTACATACTCCCAGAGGGGAATGTTTTTTTCTCAACAAGAGTGGAGTTTCTCTTTAAGCAGTTGAGACTCTGCAATAAAGTTTATGAAAATCCTTACAGTATACCTAGAAGGGCTTTGTTGCTTTAACAAAGATGGTGTTATAGTTTGTAGCCCACCCAAAATGTTATATTTAATTTTAATGGACACTGTTAGAGTGAATAAATTACTAAGTGGGCAAGTCAACTAAAGATGGGGTATTACAATATAACAGTGTGCATACAGTATTATGAAAACATATAGGGGTCTATTTATAAACATTTTTCACACAGGATTTGCACAAATTTCACCCAAAATTCACACATTTTCCAATTGATTCCAACTAGAAATGTGTGTAAATCTTGAGTGAAAGATGTGTGAATCTTGTATGAAAACATTTATAACTATACCTCCTAGAAATGAAAATGCACTGGATGAAAACATTTTCAAAGATACTAAAACATTTGTGTCAGGTCGCTATTCTTCTGGGCTCAGGCATCTCAACACCCAACGACACAGCAGCTCCCCCTCCATGGCCATTCTGTGAATGGGATCCCGCAGCATCTAAGGTATGTGACGGGGGTCTTCCAGGGGGCTGTGGAAGCAAGACACGTCACTCTGGCCTAGACCAAAATGGTGGCAAGGGGGAGGGCACCAGCCAAAAAAAAATTTTAAAAACCCTATTAATATTGAGGGACAAAGGGGAGGGGACATAGAGGCAAACTTTATTTGCGGGTGAAGTTCTGCTCTAAGGATGTAGAGACAGGCAAATTAAAACAAGTGTGAGGAAAGAAAAGGGACACAATTGAAATGTGTCCAACTCATATCCTATATTCATTTTTAAAGAAAAACCCATAAAGTAATATACAAAAATAGCATCACATTTCCTCTTATTTTATGGGCTATCATCAGCATGAAAATGCAAGTCAGCCAAGAGCCAGAAATACAAGTGTAGACCTGCACTCTTAACATTTTTCCAATACAATGGCCATCAGGCAGCACTGTCAAAAGCACCAGAAAAGTCCAGAAAGGCAATGAGCGGAGTGACTCATCTACATGGTAGAGGGAAAGCTATATGAGGGGCTGGGTAGTCAAAGTGGAACAGGACTGTCCCCAGCACTGCTAATCCCACAAGTGTCTCTATGGATAGACAAAACATTTAACAATACCTTTAAAACTGGGTAAACACATTCAGTTTTTTTTTGTTCTGGTTGAAAGAAAATCACTGACAGATCCCTGCATCTACACAGCAGTGTTTGATGCAGGGATCTCTCCCTTTTTCTATTGTATTCTGATAGGAGACTCCCTCCATTCCACCAGAAGACAATGATCAGCGCTTGCAATCACTACTTGAATGCTGGTTTTCTTGCAAGACTATTTGACAGAAGCCGGTTGTCAGACCAGACAACGGATTTAGTGTCGTTGTTTGGGGTGGTCCTGGCAATGTCAGAAAAATTATGACAAAGATAAAAATACGCAGGTTTAAGCAGTAGCATTTACATATAAGGAGCAGTAATGCTGATCATCAAACGGGGGTCTGTACAGTTTCCATGTGCAAAAGCCATCTGCATTTCCATTAGAAATGTTGACCCATTTGTCAATGTTATTCATGCTCTATATAGACATATATCAACATAATTGTGGCAATGCAGTTCAAAGACCGCACAAATTGCTAAGTAGTTAGCATGCTTGCCTTGTAGCTCTCATGTATTGGTTTTGTACAATCTTTGAAGCACTCTTAGATTGTAAGCTCCAAGGAGCAGGACCCTCCTAACCCTCTTAAACTAAACTGTATTGTTGCTGTATTGTCTCTCGTTATGTTGTAAAGCACTGAGCAAACTGTTGGCGCTATATAAATCCTGTATGTTAATAATAATAATAACTTAGTAAAAGAATGGCAATTTATAAATACAGGAAATAAATTAATAAAATATAAGTGCAAATGTATATGTAATGGTAGAAGTATAACTGCTTCAAGTGCCTATGCAGTGTTAAATAGGAACTAAATCCACCGATTTAACAGTTTCCCTAAACAGTTACATTCAAGGCATGCCATGAATGTGACTGTAACAATCGCTAATTTCCTCAACCAAACTGACAAGCTATCAAATGGATGGTGTCATATCTGATCACATGTGCAGAACCATGACAGCTGCACATCAAATGGAGGCCAAGATGGCAGCCTCCTAAGCTGTAAAGGATAGGAGGGCTTAGTTCAGCTTTATAGCATATCTAAACCCAAAAATGTAATCTATTGCAGCTTACCAATCTTTAAATGTGGTGGCTGCCAATAGCCCTCTTTTTTAGGCTTTTTTCCTTTATTTTCACCTGGTGATCGGTACAACAAGTCTTTTATTTTTCAACTTACTTTAAATTAGAACTAAAACCTAAATGTAAAAAAATGCAAGCAGGCAGGCTCTTTACCAAAGAGATTTCTTAATTTGCATTCTCGACAGTAGGGGAGATTTACTAAACTGGAGCACTCAAAATCTGGTGCAGCTGTGCATAGTAGCCAATCAGCTTCTAACTTCAGCTTGTTCAATTAAGCTTTGACAATAAGACCTGGAAACTGATTGGTTAATATGCTGAGCTACACCAGATTTTGCACCATGCAGTTTTAGTAAATAACCCCCAGTGCCTGCGTGCTGGGATGACTGAACTCCTGTGCATGTGCATGAGCTACGTCATTCTGTTCCAGCCTTTTAAGGTGGTTGAAGACTGGGCAACTGGAAAAAGCCTTGGAGAAGACACCAGTGAGGGTCCTCTGTTGGAGCACAGGTAAGTATTGCAGCAGACTTTAGTTCTGCTTTTTCAGACTAAGCTGTCCAGCAAAAGTCACAGTTAGAAGATTGAGGCAAACCATTTACCACTGACGGGTGTTTACAATGTACTGTGGCTGTAACTGCTTAAAAAACGCTTTAATCTATTTGCCAAGTCCACCTAAATAGTGCATTTAACTCTATCCTCCCCCATATTGACAATGTTGCTGTAGAAAGGTGACTCCATTGCTCCTCCATCCAAAGTGGAGCCAATCAAAGACAGGACATGTTACTGGCAGGATGATCAGATCAACAGAAAGAAAAAACCCTATAACCGAATGCACGCATAAGTTACTTTTTTTGCCATCTGTATCCCATTGGAGATATTTCCCTTCACTTCCTGTCCCATAGCCAAACAGGAAGTGAGAGGAAATCCCTCCCAAGTGAGGAAATCCTGGAGTGTCACCTCGGTTGCCAGAACTACTGTCCCCATTGGAAGATTTCTCACTATTATTGTTCTGATGTCAACCCAAAATTTGGGATTTTCTTTTACTTTCACCTTCAATGATAAGAGTAAACAGAACAAATAGAGAGAGTGAATCTCTCTAACGGAGCCACAGACAACAATGAAAACTGGCAGGTGCTCTAATCCCTGTCCACTAAAACAAAAAAAAGGTGTGCCTTTAGTTACATTTTGGGATTGTATTGGTAAACTGTAATATTGAAAGTTTTCATTTTGGGTTTAGATGTGCTTTAAGGGATACCTAGATATTTCAGATTTAGCCCTGGTGCACACCAGTGTGGCATTGAAGCTGTGCTACTTCAGCGAGATTACAAAGCCAACGATCAGTGTGACTTTAATGTGCGATTTCATTGCGGCTTGTGACTTCTTTAAGCAGATGTTAATAAAAGTTGCAATGAAATCGCACAAAAATAGTGCAGGAACCTTTTTCAAAGTCCCTGCAAGGATTTGAATGGTTCTTTTGCTATAAATGGAGTGCGATTTGTCATGCGACTTCAAATTGTCAAATCACATAGGTGTGAACCAGAGCTTAGTATTCTTGTTTTAAGACCCTATGAGACATATTGCTTTTAAAAGGTTGAGAAAAAGGGAAGGAAAGTAGAGTCTTTGGGCATAGAGAGAAATTAGGATTTGTTTTTGTGCTCTGGGAAAATAGATTAATGAAAATGATTGGTCACTATGAGGGTCAATTCACTAAAGGATTTTGCATGAGATATGAAGGTCACGTGACCAATTTGTTTAGAAATATTGCATAAGATAATAAAAGAGTCAATTCATTAAAGTATAATATTGAATGTGAGGTAAATACCGCAAAAATAAAAGAGATAAATCATTACAGGAGAAGTACAGATAATGTTCTTTAGGCCCCATGTACATGGGACACTTTTGAACTATAGAAAGTGACTGCTGGAAAACGTAGGTTAAAAAACATGTTTAGCCGCATTTGCATAATGCATTTATGTACGTTTGCATTTAGAAGCGCTTTTTAAAGATAAGCACAGGAGAACCTCCCAAATGCCCAGAATGCACTGAAAAGTGGTAAATTATTAACTATTTCAGACTATTTCAGAGAAATACAGAGAGTAGAAGCAGAGAGAGCAGTATGTGTTGAAATTAGCTTAGGTGCGAGTTGCTCATTAACATTTCTTTTGTTTCCAAGGGTGGGAAATGTGTCTGGTGGAGTGAGTCATTAAGGCCACCTGGCAAGGGGTCTTCATAAGGAATTTGAGGTGTGAATGGTCATTAATATATCTTTTGTTTCCAAGGGTGAGAGAGGTCTGAGGTATGAATTGGTCATTACAATGTGTGATAAACTTGGGAGGAACATCCTGTTTTCAGTGTTTTGTCTATCTGAGTACCTTGAAAATGCTTTGCATACATTTTTCAGTGTTTTGTCCATCTGAATACTTTGAAAACGCTTTGCATGCATTTTTCATGATGAAAAAAGGCTCTCAACAGCATCGGGAACTGGAAGAGTTAAAAAAAAATTTAAGATGCAAACGCTTATAAACTCGATTTGCCGAATTTACAAGCATTTTGCGTTTAAAACACTGATAAAATCGACTGCTGAACGCAAGTTTTCTGTATTCAAAGAAACGACTGTAAACTCATCTGCCTATAAATGAAGATGTGTACATGAACACATAGGAAAACATTAGGGTGAGTTCAGGGGCTGCTGAAAAAAACGCTGAACAGCTCCTAAACGCGAGTTTATCAATTGCAGTGTACATGAGCCCTTAGGCTGTACTTCTGTGGATCACAGGAGTGCAATTCGTTCTGCAGTTCTGTGACCAGTTTTCAGCTGACAGGGGGCTGAGGCCTACTGTCGTCTGACATCACACAGCTCGTCTAGGCTGGGGAAAGATCCAGACTTTAAAGTTAGGATCCACCCAGAGTCTGGAGCTGAACCTGGCTCAACCTCTCAGAGTTCCGCTGAACGCCTGAGCCAGCCGCTCCCTCCCCCTTCACAGCGCAGCACTCCAGTGAGCATGGAGGCGGTAAAGCAGACAGCAGTGATTGATAATCTGAACCTGAATCTAAGTCAATTCACTTAGCCCTGGTTCACACCATTGCGGTTTGTCATGCGATTTGACAGTTCCAAATCGCATGACAAGTCACAGCATACTGCCAGCAATGGAAATGTTCAAATTGTTGGCACACATGTCGCATCAACTTTGAAAAAGATCCCTGCACTACTATTTTCCGATTTCATAATTCCGATTTCATTTCTGTTAAATGAAGTCGCAAGCCGCAGTGAAATCAGAGCTACACATCACAGTGATCTGCAGCTTTGACATCGCGCTGAAGTAGCACAAAAGAACACACACATTCGGTATTTTAGAAATGCATAGAATAGCAATGAGGGGGATTCTGAACTGGCCAGTAAATGAAAAGTATACAATGTATCAGTGTGGAAATTTCTGCCTTGGGCTCAGGAATGAAAATTAAATGTAACATTTCACCAGAGGGAGATCATTCTGTGAATGAAAGCACACTAGAATGTTTTCAGTTTCATAAAATGTTTTGTTTGCATTTATTTCTTTCTTTGGTGTAGCAGGGTTAGCATGTAACAAAAATTGTGAAAAAAACACCACAATAAGACTCCATGAACACAGGGCGTCTTAATAATGCTGGTAATGTTAGCTGTGTAAAGTCATGTTAAAAAACAAGTTTTTCAGTGTATTTTTAGCTTTTTTGCTTTAGCATTTAGCCGTGTTTAGCTGCGTTTGTGTTTTTTAATGAAAACATTTTTTTTGTTGCTCAAAAAAACTTCCAAAAATGCTGGTTTTACCATGTTTTACCACGTTTTTCAGTGTTAGAGAGTTTTTACAACTAAAAAAACTCCTCTAGAAACCCACTATTTCTGGAGTTTTTTTCCAGCCAAAAAACACTGATTACAGTCTATGTGTGCATAGACACATAGGATAACATGCTGGGGAGTTTACTGGCTATAGAAAAAACCACCAAAAACAGCAGCCGTAAAAACGTCCAGTGTGCATGAGGACTAAGTGATAAATATCGCAAAACATAAATAATGTATACATTCAGTAAATACCGCAAGAGTTTAACTGCTTCCCGACCGCCCTATAGCAGATGTACTGTTACAGGGCGGCACAGGTGCACAAAATCACGTATATATATGTGATTTCGCATTTCCGGGTAGGGGGCGCGCACGTGCCCTAACCGCGCTTCCATTCACAGCTGCGGCTGTCAATCACCGGGTCCTAGCTGGAGATTACTCACCAGCGCCCTGTGAATGCCGAGCATCTCCGACGGGGAGGAGAACTGTAAGTAAACAATACTGTTCTCCTGTCAGCTCCAACACACTGCTTTAGATGGCTGTGCACATCACAGCCATGCAAAGCAGTGTGATTACAGTGTAAAGCACACACACAGACAAAAGTAAAACAGCACAGTTAACACTTTGATCGCCCTCATGTTAACTCCTGCCTGCCCAGTGTCCTTAGTACAGTGTCAGTGCTTTTTCTTAGCATTGATCACTGTATTGTTGTCACTGGGGATGTCAGTGACACCAAGTCAGTTCCCCCCTGTGTCAGAATGCCTGCTGCAGTCCCACACTTCCACTATAAGTCACTGATCGCCGCCATTACTAGTAAACATTTTTAAAAATGTAAAATTCCAGTACCTATACCGCCATTTGTAAATGCTATAACTTTCATGTAAACCAATCAATTTACACGTATTGGGATTTTTTTACATTTTGGCCTAAATTTATGATGAAATTTGATTTTTTTTTATTTTTTTACTGGACATGTTTAATAGCAAAAAGTCAAAAATAGTTTTTTTTCTCAAAATTGACTGTATTTTTGTGATTTCACATTTACAGGTAGGGGGCGCGCACGTGCCCTACCCGCGCCTCCATTCACAGCAGCGGCTGTCAATCACCAGGTCCTAGCTGGAGATTACTCGCCAGCGCCCTGTGAATGTCAAGCATCTCCGACGGGGAGGAGAACTGTAAGTAAACAATACAGTTCTCCTGTCAGCTCCCACAAAAAGAAAGCTCAATTAGTGGGAAAAAAAGGACATAAATTTCATTTGGGTGCAGCGCTGCATGACTGCGCAAATGTCAGTTAAAGTAACACAGCACCGTAATGCAAAAAATGGCCTGTTCAGGAAGGGGGTTACATCTTCAGGAGGGCAAGTTGGTTAACGCAAAAATTCATGCGGTATTGATCTGTTAGTGAATTGACCCCTACAAGCAGCTACTCCACATTTCTCCCGCTTCATCTCTAGTTTTTTTTTAAAAAACAGACCCAGATTGAGTTGAACAGAACTCATGCTGGGGAGCCCTGTTCTAGAATGCAGCCAATGCAAGGCTAATATATACAGCACTGACACTTTAGAACTGTGCAACCTCGGTCCTTGTGTAATACCACACTGTTAGCATGTACTCTTAGCCACATTCCAGGGAGATGTGATGTCACTGTGTAATACCTTAGTGAATGACAGCATACTGCATTATGAACTAATAAATGTCATTCACAGCCCTAGCAGAGGTCACATAGGAGTAGGTCCAGTTTCCTTCATTGATTGATTCCTGCAAATCTGAACGACAGAACAGTAACACAGGGAGCAGATTACATGCAGAAACCGCACAGCCAGGGCTTCTAGTTTATATGAAGGACACGGAACTACAAGAGATTTTTGGAAAATCCTGTGTCAGTATAATACAAAGCACTCAACTGATTGATAATGACTTATATAATGCATTGTTCTTCAGTTTCTGAGCTGTTTTCAAGCCCTCTAGATTTTGTCTCTGATCATTTTTATTTTACAGGTCTTTATGTGAACAATATAAGTCTAGCATTCAATATCAAAGATAAAAGTATTTTTATGACCCAGTGTACCAACTAATTCTTGAATCCTAAACGCAATGACGTATTGCACTCATATGGCACACATATGGGGGGGTTATTTATTAAAATTGCCTGGTGCAAAATCTGGTGCAGTTCTGCATAGTAACCAATCAGCTTTTAGGTTTTATTGTCAAAGCTTAATTAAACAATCTGTGCCCCCGTTTTAGTAAATCCCCCCTATGGTATTATTGTTTATTGTATTTATTTATTACAGAAAGTTGATCTGTAGAAGGCAGATAAAATGGGCAAGGATTTGAGGGACTTTGACAAGGGCCAAATTGTAATGGTTAGACCAGTGTTTCTCAATCTTTTTTCAGTTAAGGCACCCTTTAAAAAGTATGGACAGTCTTAAAGGCACCCCATTCTAAAATAGAGTGCCTCAAGACTGTCCATAATTTTAAAAGGGCACCCCATTCTAACATTTCTAACACAGCCACATCCACACATGTAGGACATCCAACATTAGAGGTGATTTATTAACTAAAAGGCAGGCTTGTCCACCTGCTAGCTTGTATACAAGCTTTGGGCAATTTTTTAGACATTTTACCAAGGCACCCCTGAAAAAACCTCAAGGTACCACAGGGTGCCTGGGCACCCTGGTTGAGAAAGGCTGGGTTAGATGACAGAGAATCTCCAAAAGTGCAGCTGTTGTGGGATGTTCCCAGTGTGCAGTGGTCAGAACTGACCAAAAGTGGTCCAAGAAAGGAAAACAGGCAAATCAGCAACAAGGTCACAGTAGGCCAAGGCTCAATTCATGCACATGGGGAGCAAAGTCTGGCCAGTGTAGTCTAATCTAATAGCAGAACTACTGTAGCTTAAATTGCTTAAAAAGGTAATGTTGGTTCCAATGGAAAGGTGTCAGAACACACAGTGCATCACAGTTTGTTGTGTATGGGGCTGTGTAGTCAGACTGGTGAGCATGGAGCCCATTTTGACCTCTGTCCACAGCCAAAAGTGCCTTCAATGGGCTCGTGAGAAACAGCACTGGACCATGGAGCAATGGAATAAGGTGGCCTGGTCTGATGAATCCAAGAATGGTTTGAGGAACATAAAAACGAGTTTGAGGTGTTGACTTGGCCTCCAAATTCTCCAGATCTCAATCCAATCAAGCATCTGTGGGATATGCTGGAAAAATAAGTATAATCCATGGAGGTCACACCTCGCAACTTACAGGGTTTAAACAGGGGTGGACTGACAACTCACGGGGCCCGGGCAATAGGGGATCATGGGGCCCCTGTGTCCTTGCCCAAACTCAAAAAAGACTATGAAAAAGGTACCAGGGGCATCTCATGGGGCCCCCTACTGACCCCAGACCCTCGGGCAGTGCGTGAGTTTCTAAATGGTCAGTCCGCCCCTGGGTTTAAATGATCTGCTACTGATGGCTGATGGCTTGGTGCCAGATACCAGAGCATATCATCAGAGATCTAGTGGAGTGCAGTGGTGTATATATATATATATATATATATATATATATATATATATTTATTATTTAAAATATTATTTTGCCAATAGTTTTAACTATGTGATGTTGCTAAATTACCAAGAAAAATGAGCATTCTTGAATACCTACAAGCACTTTATAATAGTTTATCTAAACTCCTGGTAACCCTAAAACTTAGGATGCTCTAATATGCAAATAGGGACCTCTGGAAGCAAACTACAACAATAAAACACCCCCTTCTGCCATCTCCCTATAGGTCAGCGATGCCA